GGTCAGGGTCTTAGGATCAGTTTGTCCCCATAAAAGGTAATTTGATTTAGCTTTACAGGAACCAGGGAGGCAAGGAGGAGTTACATGGTAGGTAAACTGGCAATTACACAAGTTTTTCAGGAAGACAACAAGTTATAATAAGTACAGCTCATGCTGGGTTTTTGAGCTTATAACAGGGCTCACCACTTGTCCAGGAGACATGGTTAGGTTTGCATAGATTTGACCCCACAGCTATCTGATGTGAGCCTCTTCTGGAACACCATGATTCGTCCACATTAAACCCCGTAAATCCTCCTCCAAGCTTTGTGGCTTCTGGTGGACAGAGAACTTGAACCTGGCTCTGTGTAGGTTCTTAATTACATGCTGTCTGATCTGCAGCTTAAGGTACATGGTCATGAATTGGTCATGACTTGACCCTGGCCAAGTGCCCTAGGGACAGCATGACATCAGCCACATGAACTTCCACTGGAAAGAGTTGTCTCCAAAGTCCCAAAAACAATCTGTACAAGCAACAGGCACTGTTCACTGTGGATGAAGCTGCTGTTAGCAGTCATTGACCCTGAGGCCCCTGGAGTCCATTCTTTAAAAGGTCCTTTAATTAATTACTTGTAAGTGCTGCTTTCCTTACATGTTGGCTGACTGTGTGGTGCCTCACTGTGATTCTGCAGAATGACTCAGCTCTGCTCAGTCACTGCAGAGAGCAAAAAGAGGGAGAGGACTTCCATAGTGAAGGAGATGAATGTAGAGGGATGGAAAATGAGGATGTGATAGTGCCGGCTTGGGATCCCAGACAGCCTGAACAACTTACCAAGCCTTGTCACAAAATATTTTAAAAATCTGGTGCCAAGCACAGTGGCACATGCTTGTAAATCCTAGTACTCTGGGAGGCTGATGGAGGAGGATTGTAAGTTTGAACCCAATCTGGGCAGTTTAGACACTGAGCAAGATCCTGACTCAGAAAAAAAACAAAAGGGCTGGGAATTTCGTTCACAGTGCAAAGGCCCTGGGTTCATACCTGAGAGCTGGAGAGGAGAAGAGGGAGTCCTGGTGCTGTATTTATTTCAGTCAGTGATGTATCATTTGGCTAACATGTGTGAGCCCCTGAGTTCAATCCCAGGGGGCCACGTCTACCTATCAGCATTCTCTCAAGGTCTGTTTTTTCAGAGCATCCCTGTTCACTTGAATGTCTGGAAAACCATTTTTCACTTACAATGTCCTGCCTACAAAAAAATGCTGTTACACATGGTTATAATCTTAGACTTGCCTACTGTCAGTAGTTGAATTTTACAGCAGACCACTTTAAAGTGTTTTTTCCCTGTTGGAGGTATGATGGTTCACAAATTTGAGAAGCTAACAATTGTTTAACAGTTGAAAAACTATTCTTCTATTTAAATTTTGGTATTTTCAGTAGTATTTCCCTTGGTCTGGTGACTAGAACTGCATTGTATATACTACCTAAGACTAGAATTAAATAATATCAAAGGGCAGGGTTTAGGTCCTCAATTGAATTAATCAGAAATCGAAATCTGGATCCCATTATTGTGATAGTCAGGTCAGGTTTTTGCACCCACCACTTAATATGAGACGTGGTATTAAATTGTGTCTTTTCTCAGCCAAAGTTACTTAATCTTATTTGCCCTTGAACTGCAATAGGTAGCCATGAATTCAAATCAGCCTTAGTTATCATTTTTAAAAAATCCTTGGGCCAGGGCTGGGGATTTAGCTCAGTGGTTCAAGTGCTTGCCTGGTAAGCGTGAAGTCGTGAGTTTGATCTCTGGTACCAAGAATAAAAATTTAAAAATCTTTGGGCCAGCAGTCTAGCTCAGTGGCACAGCACCTACCTGGAAAGCATAGGGTCCTGAGTTTTGATTCCTGGTACCAAAAAAAAAAAATGTTAGTATTACATGTTGATAGTACATAAACATATTACGGTCATTGTGGAGATTGCACATCTTAATTCTTATTACATCTGCCTTCCCTTCATCCTCCCTCAGCCTTGGGCATCATTTAAAAGAGTATTGTTTCTTTCATTCTTTTTTTTTTTTTTTAAACCAGGGGTCAAACTCCCAACCATGTGCTTGCCAGGCAGGCACTTAATGCTGCTGAGGTAAATCCTGGGAGAGTATTGTTTCTTAACCTCTGTCAAAGAACAGGAGGTATATTTTGGTGATAATTTAGATTTTGCATTACAGAAAAATTATGTAAAAACTGAGTACATTTTGTACAATAAATTTAGAAATCTCAGCAATATTCATTGTCTTTTATTAATGTACTAAACAATCCAGTTATCCTTCAGTTTACCCATTGTTATAAAATTATTACTCTCAATGTCTAGAAGATTAAATCTAAAGCCTGTGCCTTCCAAGGCTTTTTGCTCAATCTGGGAGGTCAGTTTCTACCTGGCACCAGATGTCGTGAAGAGCTGGTTAAATTAAGCACTGTGTAAACATTAAGCCACCAGAAGAAAAAAGTGTGCAGACTTCTGGATGAAACAGGCGTGTTTTATGATCTTCCATCTGGGTTGGGGTTCTGCAAGCAAAGGGGAAATAAAGGGTCTCGCACACTAACGGTCAGCAAAATGGCTGCCACCCGGCCAGCCTAAACAAGTAGGCTTTATTGAGATAAAGAACAAAGAAACTCAAATTGTGCATGCTCAGATTATATAACTTGTTTACTTCTTGACCTTACAGGACCTCATGTTTTTACCTTGGGGTGGGGATGATGTTTCAAGGCCTGCACTTTTCCCATAACATTGTTGACCGGATGTGTCCGGGACAAAATGGAGTCAGTATGGCCTCTCTACCTCCATCTTCATTAACTTTTGGTATTTTTTGTCTTCTGTTAGTAAACTTTTTGGAGGGAGAAATCAGAGTTATTCAAGTTTACGTTTTTTCTTTTTCTATGGAATTAAGTTTCAAATGTACAGAACATTTGTGCAGGAATCATACAAAGAACTTTCATGTACCTGATACACAGATTGTCCAGTTATTAACATTTTGTCACATGCTTCCAAGTATATTTCCTGTAGCAAGGACATTTTCAGATCAAAATCAAAAAATTTGAATGCAGCATTGTTGTGTAATAGTCCATGTTCAATATGATTCATCTTTCATTCTTTGCTATCATCCTCTAATGTGTTTTATGGCAATTTTTTCCTAGTCCAAGATCATACAAGATAACTGTTGTTAGTTACCTCTGATGTGAAACACTCTTATGCCTTTCTTTTTGTCTCTTTGGTGCTGGGGATAAACCCAGGGTCTCACACATCCTAGGCAAGCATTCTACATTCCTATCCCTTTTGTTTATTTATTACAATTATGCAATTAAAGATATACAGCTGGTGTGATGGTAGTGTTTTTGAAGACCATACCATGAACTAGTGGCAGTGATGCACACCTGTAATCCCCGCTATCCAAATGCTCAGACAGAGCCTCGTAGGTCCGTGGCCAGCCCACACAACTTACTGAGACCCTGCCTCAAAATAAAAAAGCGCAGGGGTCCAGCCCAGTAGTAGAGCACTTAGCCTCTATAAGGTCCTAACATGTTACACTTTCTTTTCATTTTTTGGCTGAGGTGTGAACCCAGAGTTTCACACACACTAGGTAAGTGCTCTCCCACTGAGCTATATCCCCAGATAGGTTTTTAGACTGCTTTGTATCCTTGACACACAGCATCAACCAAAGAATTTTTTCAAAAATTACCTAGTGGTGGACCAGAGATATATTTCAGTGGTACAGTTCCTGCATGGCAGCACAAGGTCTGGAGTTTGATTCCCGGTACCAAAAGAGAAAATCGGGTCTGGGGATTTAGCTCAGTGGCGTAAGCACCTGCCTTGCAAGCAGGCAGTCATGAGTTCAATTCCTGGTACCGGAAAAAAGAAAAAAAAAAAAAGGAAATTACCTATAGGCCTGGGGTTGTAATTCAGGCAGCATACTCACTTAGCATGCTCAAGGCCCTAGGTTGAGTCTCTGGTGTGCAGACAAAACAAACAAAAGTCTGGTTTTTGTTTTTTTGTTTTTTTTTTTTCTCTTGTGATGCTGGGGATTGAATCTTGGGCCTTGAACATGCTTAGAAAAGTATGCAACCCCAGCCCTATTGAATATCTTTGATAAAACAACTTCCTTTCACAGAATTTAATATGGAGAAGACATGATTTTTTAGAAAGAGCATGTTCAAACTTAACACTTGGATCACATTTCTGCCACACAGTAGTTGTGGCAAGGCCAAGTTACATCATCTCACTGACTCAGTTTCTTTGGCTCTGAAAGGATGGAGGACAAAGCACTGGCATGAATGAAGAGAGGAAGTATTGTGTGGGAGTAGAGCAGCACAGAGTACAACACCACCCATTCCAGAAGGGAGCCTTCCCAGTCTCCATTGAGGATTAAGGAGTTGGTAGAAGGGAATGGCTAAAACCTGAAAATAAGGAAATATTTGGTGATAACACCAATCTCTTAGGTCAGATAATCACCCAAGAACTTTGTAGGAAACTACATTCCAATACTTTTTGTTTTGAGATAGTCCAGATAAGTTACTCAATTGTCCAAGCTGTCTCATGCTTTCCCTGTCTCAGCCTCCCAAAGTACTGAGATTATAGATGTGTACCACCATACCCAGCTTTGAAATCTTAAAGATGTGGTATTTGGTATCTCATTAGCTATTTGATTTCCACACTTAATAACTAAGTATAAAATGGTAATGTTCAAGGAATCATTTACTAAGGGATAGCTTAGTGTTTGTGTGTCTTTTGGCTTATTGAGGTAACCTGTGTGCTGAATCACTGGAATGCAGCATAATCAAATTTGGCTTCTTCCATCCCTGAGTTGGTACAAGACACTCTTGGCAGCTAATGAAGTGCTATTCTTTGCTATTACTTGGTATAATTGCCACAGAAGTAAATTCCATGAAATGATATTTTTGCTAGGTTGCTCCCTGTTTCAGACTAAAGAAATTCATGGTAAAGGCCAGCAGTCTCTAACTAGAAGTGATTGTCTTGGCAGCCGGGAAGACTTCCAGAGAATTCCAGAGCTTGCCATCAACCCACTGGGGGACCGGATCATTAATGCCTTCTTTCCAGAGGGGTGAGTTGGGGTACTAGTTTGACCTCCATCCTTTGGCTGTTTCAGCCCAAATTCATTGCTAATCTGGAATAAAGATATTGGTTGGATTATTTCAGACCTCCTCTCCATCATTATTATAAGAGACATCTCTAATTTGTCATATCTAGATTATCTCTTTTTTTGTACTCTTCTCCCTGTTGTTTGGTTTGGGTTGGGGTTTTTTGTTTTTGAGACCTTGCTATATATGTCAGGCTGGCTTTGAACTCCCTATGTAGCCCAGACTGGCCTTGAACTTGGCAATTCTCCTGCTTCAGCCTCCTAAGTGCTAGAATTATAGATGTATGCTACCATACTCAGCTCTTCCTCCATTTTAAGCTTCAGTATCTATATAATATAAGTATATCTTCAAAATTCTGTCTTTAATATCAGTTTACCTTTGGCATATAAGAACTTTAAAAAAACATATTTGGAAATAATTTCAAATTTGCAGAGAAATTGAAAAAAGCGTTTACATTTTATCATTATATTACTTTATCATTTAAAAATTGAAATCAATGTTTAAATTATATATACAGCATGTATGAAGTCAGATTAAGTTTGTTTTCAGTGCTTACAGCTCCTTAGGACTAGAGGCTATGCAGTTGAACAGTGTAGTTCCACCTCTGCTAGCCACCCCTCCCCACTTCTCTGCTCCCCACTCTCACCACACACTTTCCTGTCTTCTTTTGTCTGTCTCTCTCTCTGTGCACATGTGTATACATGAGTATATACACATATATTCTCACATACTTTTTCTGTGTGTGTTCACATAATTGTATTCCTGAACCATGAATTTGTCAGTAAGGTACATAGTCATGGCCACGACTCTTGACTCTTGACCTCTGAACACTCTGGCCTGTGTTAGCTAAGTAGGGATAGTCTTTTATACAGCGATAGTACACTTTCCAGTTTCAGGATGTTTGTTTTCATAGTACTGGGGATGGAACCTAGGGTCTCATTTCATGCTAGGCCAATGCTCTACCAATGAGCTATATCTCCTAGTTCTACACTTCTATAAGCTTAACATTGATAAAATATTTCTGTATTACTCTTATATTTATTTATCATCTAGTATCCTGATCTGTTTTTCTCTCTAGTCAGACTTATGATCTGTTATTTATACTCCATCAACTCACCTAGTGATCCTCTTCTTAGTGCTTACCCCTCCAATGTAAGATCTAGTCTGGGTCATCTGTCCCATCTTTTTAACCTCCTTTAATTTGGAACATTTCAAAGCTTTAATTTTACTTATATGATATTTACTAAAAATACATTTCCTTTCCACTCAGCACACCTACTTTTTAAAGTACAGTAGTGTAGATTGTTCCTTAACTTGGCTTTGTCTAGTGTAGCACTAGACTTTGTGGGGGCAGTGCTAGGGATTGAACCCAGGGTCTTATGTGTTCTAAGCAAAATGTTCTACCACTGAACTGCATCTTCAACCCACCTTCCCTTCCCTTCTTTTCCCTTTTCTTTTCATTTCTTTTCGCAACAGAGTCTTACTGCTCAGGATAGCCTCCAGTTTACAATACTCCTACCTCAGTCTTCCAGTAGCTGGGTTATAGACATGTGCCACTATGCCTGGTTTATAGCTAGACCTCTGATGTGCTTTGCTTCCTAGCACACTATCTTTAGAGTACTGAGTAAATAATTTAGTAAGCTTATCATATGGTCTATTTTTTTTTCTTCTTGGTCTTTTTTGAGGCAGGATTATATGGTTCAGGCTGGCCTTGAATTCACTTTATAGCAGAGGCCAGCTTTCAAGTCCTGCTTTAGCCTCTCAAGTGCTGAGATTACCCTGCACACCAGCACTTAGTTTTTATAAAGACTAATGTCTGTTCTTTTCAAATTCATGTTGAGCCATACTCACCTCATTCCTCTCTCATTTTCCCTAAACTGCCTGGATCACTTTAGGTGTGGTTTCTGTGCTAAATTCTTCCATTCTTCTGTTTCCTCATCTCATACCTGCAGAACATTCACTCCTGTTCAGACATAATGCTCACAGGCACACTTTGTTCCCAGACCTTTTACAGTGGGCAGTAAACCCAGAGAATCACTTTGCCAAGTTGTTTTTTTGTTGTTGTTGTTTATTTGTTTGTTTTTTTCCTACATTTCCTAGTCACCCTGGTTACTTGAAGAAGCAGCCCAGGAAAAGCTGATACACTTTTTACCTGCCATCCACTCCCCCAGTCTCTGCAAGGAGCCTAAGTGGGGTGCCCATGAGGAAGCAGCAGGCAGAACTGCCTGGGGGTGGAGGGGCACTCTGGACAGCCTTGTGCCTCTGCTTCTTGCTTCACTAATCAGACTACTGGCCCCTGGGCTTTCATTTCTAGTCTTACATGGGGATCATTTTTCTTTTGTTCTTTTAAGTTTGGGATTTGATAATAAACCATTTTAATTACCTCCTTGACATTTAGAGATGTTATGGTAAGTCATCTGTGTATTCATTAACCTTTTTTATCCTGGCATCTGACTCAAATCTTACTCCATATTACTAGATTCCTCAGGTCTTACCTTTTTTGACCAGGTACTGTTTCATTAGTCATAGAACAGCTATCTGGAAGAACTAAAGGTCATTCTTCTAAGTACAGTATAGTAAGCTCATAAGCTGGCTTCTGAACTGTGCCAGTGGAAGGTCAGAATTGTGTGTCTACCTGACACATAAGAGACCTAGACACCTTGTCTTTTCAGAAGGATGGGCAAAGACCAGAACTTTTTTTGAAGTAATTACAGGAATCAGATCACCTTTTTGTTCCGTGACTGTTTTAGATAAATAATTTATTAATGGATAAAGAAAGAATGTCACATGGGCATTCTTCTTTTTTTTTAGCCAAGAATTGTACTCTGGACCTTGTGCTTGCTGGGCCCACACTTACACCACTGAGCTATGTCCCCAGCCCTCTTTCTTTAATATTAAAGAACATTCTTTTTGCTTTTTGAGTTAGGGCCTTGCTAACTAGTTCAGGCTGGCCTTGCTCTCAAACTCACAGTGAGCCTCATGTCTCAGCCTCCAAGTCCTGGGATTACAGGTATACATCACCATGGCCAGTTTAAGGCATTCATTTGTTCAAAAAAAATTTTTTTTTGAGACAGGGTTTCTCTATGTTAGGCTCGCCTTGAACTCATTTTCTAGCAGTCTGACCATGAATTTGAGGGAATCCACCTGCCTCAGCCTCCTGAGTGCTGAGATCACAGGCAGATGATTTGTTCAGATTTTAGAATTATTTCTCTTAGGGTTGTGGATTAGCCTGCGGTACAATAAAAAGACTTTTTTCTAGTCAGGCATGGTGGTGCACGCCTGTAACCCAGCACTCAGGAAGCTAAAGCAGAAGGATTGCGAAGAGTTAAAGGCCAGCCTGGACTGTGTAATGAGTTAGGCCAGCCTAACCTACATAGTGAGGCCCTGTCTATAAATAAATAAATAAATAAAAGTTTTAAGAGTTCAAGAGACAAAATTACCTATACAAAATATTTGTAATTACCCAGAAAGCAAAGAAAAAGTAATGAAAGGAAGTGTATTCATATTTGACTTGGATGTAGCTCTGGGTTCTATCCCCAGTACCACAGGAAAAAATAATAATAATAAGCCCCACCCTGATTGACACAGTTTTCTGTTTTTAATATTTTCTGACCAGAGAGGACCAGGTAAATTTCCGTGGATTCATGAGAACTTTGGCTCATTTCCGACCCATTGAGGATAATGAAAAGAGCAAAGATGTGAACGGACCAGAACCACTCAACAGCAGAAGCAACAAACTACACTGTAAGGAGCTGGAGTCACCTGGTTTAAAATACTTGCTTTTCATTATCTTATAAATCATGTATTTCACAACATTTGCACAAGCAGAGTATGTAAGTGCTCAGACCCTGGGGTTATACTGGCTGAGTTTGAATCCCAGCTGTACCACTTTTTGGCTACAGAATTTTGGGTACATTACTTAAGATCTCTATCTTCAGTTTCCTTTTCTGAAAAGTGATTTATTAAGGGATTCTATAGGAGATTATCATAAAGATTAAATGAGGTTTTATTGGTTGGTTGGTTGGTTTTTTGTTTTTGGGGGGGTGGTTATCAGAAATCTTAACTCAGGCCCTCACGCTTGCCAGGCAGGCACTGCCACTGTGCTGTATCCCTGGTCTGTTTTTTGTTTTGTTTTTTTGAGACAGTCTCACTACTTTACAACTCAGGCTGGCCTTAAACTCATAATGATCCTTCTGCCTCAGCCTCCCAGGTACTGAGTGAGTTAGAGGCATGAGCCACCATACCTGGCAGATTAAAAATACAAAAAGTATGCTAAGTGCTTCAAATAGTACCTTATATAAAATAATTACTCAACGAGTATCACCTGCTTTTTTCTTTTGTTGTTCTCACTATGTAGTTTAACCTGGCCCTGAACTCACTTTACAGCCTGGGCTGGCCCTGAACTCTTAGCCGTCTTTCTGCCTCCGCCTTCCAAGTGCAAGGATTACAGGCATGTGTGTCACTACACCCAAACACCTGCTATTATTATTATAATTTGTTGTGTGCCTGATGAATCCCACAGACTATTTTAAGTACTAAAGTGATAGTAGCAAAGAAGGTCCTATCCCCATCCCTAACGGATATCCATACTGGGAGTCCTCTATTTGTCTCAGAATTTGTTTGCTTGGGATGTTACTAAGTAGGGCCAGACAGCGGGCTTAGTGTGGCACTGAATTGTTGGCCACATGCCACTTGCCTCCTGTATCTAGATACCAAATAAATTTCACTTGTACCCTGATAGTTTATGTGATATTGCCTGGTTCCTTCTAACACTTTTCCAGGAAGTTGAAATTGAATTTCTCTTCTCTTTCAACACAAGTTGAACGTGATGTTCTATGAAACTGATTAGGCCCAAGCCTCTGTTACAAGCATGCATAGTAACACAAAGATTTTGAAGCCAAAGAATAAATGCAGCCCCTCAAGTTTCCTTGATTATTTAAAGAAAACTAAAAGATTTTACACAGTGAATTTTACACAGTAAAAATACAAATAAAGTAACAGAATATAATGCTAAGACTTAGTTTTAGGCTGTGGCCCCAGATCTTCCCAGGTGTAGAATTTTTTTTTTTTTCGTACCAGAGATCAAACTCAGGACCTACTACTTGCCAGACAGGTGCTTATGCCACTGAGCTATATCCCTCATCCCCAGGTGTAGAAATTTAAGTTCACTCCCCATGTCATAATGTTAAGTATTGAGTTCAAGAAGTACTGAAGTAAACATTATTATTTAAGACAAGGTTTTTTTTTTTTTTTATTGGTACGGGGGATCAAACTCATGACCTGCCTGCTTGAAAGGCAGGTGCTTATGCCACTGAGCTAAATCTCCAGCCCCAAAGATGTTTTTAAGTAAAAATAATATAATATTGTTCATTCTTACCATAAGATCGTTGCTTTAAGAAGAGCAGAAAACGTAAGTACAAACAAAACTGAGTATAAAAGAAAAAGGCAGTGTATTCTCAATTTTTTTGGATTCTTCATGTTTCCTAATGAATTCCAATTTCTTGTTTCAAGTCTTAACTACTATTTGAAGCCAAGTGTAGAGACACATGTCTGAGGTTCCAGCACTTGGAAAGCCAAGGCAAGAGGACACTTTAAGTTCAAGACCAACTTAAGGGGCTGGGGATCAATACTATCACTTCAGAATTGAAAATTTCAGCTACAACGCAAAATCACAGAAAAGGATATATGCTTTAGCATTTTATTTTACTTTACAGCACATTCACTTGCGAGTGTTTTGATGTAGCACCACACAGTGTTTTGACTAATGTAAGTCAGTCAAAGGTATGTGTGACTCTTGTCCAGAGCACATGTACATGCATAATCTTAGGTTTCTAGCTCGCGTCTTTTCCAGTGTTGGGGAGCAAACTCCAGACTTTGGTCATGGCAGGTAAATACTCTATACAGAGCTATAACCTCTTAGCTGTGATTCATAGGAAAATACTGCTTGTGTTTCTTGTCTTTCTTTTTCAGTGCTGAGGTTCTAGTGATCAAACCCAGGCCCTTGTGCCCATACTAAGTATCTGTTTTACTACTGAGCTACACCCCCAGGCCCTTCCTTTATTTTTCTACAGTTATCAAGTTTACTTTAGCAATAGGTTTAATCCAGTTACTTAACTTTGAATCTTCCAAAATCAGTCTGATTTCCATAGACAATAGTTTTTTCATATTCTTGCTTCATTTATTTCAAATGATACAGTTTTTATTAAATGTGCAAATTGCAAAAAGTTTCAGGACAGTGATACATCTGGCTATTGGATGGACAAAATTAGTAAGTGGCATAAATACTTGAAATCCTTTAACAAACTATTAAAATAACTTTGATAACCAGGTGTGGTGGCACATGCCTACAATCCCAGATCTGGGGAAGGCTGAGCCAAGAGGATCACCATGAATTCGAGGCTAGCCTGAACTACAATACATAATGAGACCCTGGCTCAAAACAAACAAAATTTTAATGTATGTGCCTATTCATTATATATGAAATAATGAGATGTGACATTAGGTCAAAGAACTACATTGATTTTTTTTTTTTTTTCATTTTTGGGTGGCATGGGATTTGAGACAGGGTTTCAATATGTACCAGGCTGGCCTTGAACTCCTAGTGATCCTCCTACTTCAGCCTCCCAAGTGCTGGTATTACACGTGTGCACCACCATGCCAGTTACTATATGGATTTTGAAACAATAATAAACACAAATGATAAATTGAGATGCCAGCAATAGCTACCATGTGAAATAAACATGTCTCTTTTATATTGGTGGTGTCAGAATCACCAATATACTGTACCAAACATTGCTGTTCACTGTGGTTTATTGCCAAATTTATGAAATGAAGGAAATACCAATTTCAGTAGAGATTTTGAGAAAAAGTCTATTTTCTGTTCCATATTCATGTTCTCCTACCAGGTCCTTTCTGTTCCTGAACAAAGAGTTACTCCTTTATTTCTAAGGGAGCTCTACCTATACACTGAATTTTTTTTTTTTTTAAATACACTGATTTCTTTAAAAATCTTTCTTCTGGTCAGGCACCTGTAATTCTGGCTACTCAGGAGGCTGAGGCAGAAGAACTGCTTGAACCCAGGAACTCAAGACCAGCCCAGGAAATATGACTCATCTCAAAAAAAGTTATTTTTCCTGTTGACTTGAAATAGCCCCATGATCTCCATTGCATAAATTTTCTACCTGACAGACTTTCATGTATTTGAAGATAAATCTCTGTCCTGAACTTTTTTCTAGCTTTATGCCAGTTCTTTCAAAATCTTCCTGGCGGGTGGGGAAGAGAAGTTTCTTCATACAGAATTTCAGATTTATGAATTGAAAAAGTTGTGGAGATTGTTTTCCCAACAATATGAACATACTTGCTTGTATTTTATTATGAGTTTAAAAATGATTAAGATGGAATTGTTTGTTTTTCCATTAGAGATTAGGCTCAGAGACTTGGTGTTGAGCTATCAGCCCTTTTTGGATTTTGAGACAATAATTTGGTTGATTGTTTTTGTTTTTGTTTTGAGACAGAGTCCCACTGTGTAGTTCAGGCTGGCCTTGAACTCACTATTGATGATTTCAGTTCCCTTAGACTTAAAATTGCTGCTTGCTTTTTTTTTTTTTTTTTTTTTTTTGAAACTATGTATCAACCATGTTTTTAGCTTTCTTAGGAGAGGTATGTGTTGTATTGGGGTTCAAACCACAGAGCCACATCCCCTACCTTTTATAAAATTTATTTTATAAAGCAAGAGGATTGCTGTGAGTTCATGAACAGCCTGAATCACATGGTTAAGACCCTGTCTCAAAAATACCAAACCAAACCAGAAAAACCATAACCCAAAAAAGAATAACAGAGCCAGGGATATAGGTCAGTGGCATAGCACCTGCCTGCCAAGCATGAGGTCATGAGCTCCATTCCTGATACCAAAAAAAAAAGAGTGACAAAGTCATTTTAATCTCTAAACTTTTTTAGTATTATGACCCTGAAAACTTACACATTTATTTATTTTTTTAACACCAAGTACATTTATTTAAAAAAGAAAATTGTGAAATACCCTCATATCTTTCCTTAAGAAATTAGAAATAAAAGACAAAATAAAGCCAAAAACAAATAGAAGAAAATAAAGATCAGAAAATACAGTCCCTTATCAAAATGCCATCATCTTTTTTTCTTTTTCTTTTTTTTTTTGGTACTGGGGATCGAACTCATGACTGTACACTTGCTACACAGGTGTTTATGCTGCCGAGAAAAATCCACAGCCCATCATCATTTCTCATAAATAAATTAACATTTTGATTCTTACATTTCTGTAGAAATACAAAAGACTCAAAATAGTCTAAACAACTCTGATAAAGGAAAAAAATTAGAGTTCCAACCCTTCCCAATCCCGTGACTTATCACAGTTATATCAATCATGACAAAATAGCATTGATAACAGGATAGACAAACTTCCAAGGTACCAAGATGAAGTCCCAAAATAGATACCTACATAACAGACAAATGATTTCTAGCAAAGATACAAAAGCAGTTAAGTGGAGAAAAGATTGTACCTTCAATAAATGCACTGCAACAACTGGATATCCACAGGCAGAAAACCCAAACCTTATTTCACATCAAAAATAAAGACATCCAAAAGTCAACACGAAATGCCTCACAGTGGGTTAAAGCAAAGGCAGATGTCACCTGAGTCGGTTCTCTGGCTGAGGTCATTCTCTAGGAGAAGGTGTAGAAGGCAAGGCAGAACTGACAGAGTTGTTCAGTGAAGGGAAGCATTGAATTTGCTTCTGAACAGGCCATGTGGATGATAAAGGAGGTCATTATGCTTGGGGTTTTTTGTTTTTTGGTATGGGAGATCAAACTCATGACCTTGTACTTGCCAGGCAGGTGCTTATGCTGCTGAGCTAAATCCCTGGCTTTTTTTTTAAAGCTATCTTAACTTTTTTTATATACATGAGCATACACATGTTTTTTTCTTTCAGCTTCACACCAGTGAAACAATACGATGTTTACACAATTTACCCATTTAAAAACTAGTAGCTAAGATGGCTGTGGTGGCACATCCTTGCCTGTTATTCGAGCATTCTGGGAGGCTGAGGTAGGAGGATCTCAAGTTCATGCCACTTAGCAACTTCCCAACACCTTGTCTCAAAAAATAAAAAAGGGCTGGAGATGTAGTTTTCAGAGTATCTTAGAGTTCTATATTCAGTGCTAAGGAAAAAAAGAAGAAAGCATTTCAGCTAATTAAGTTGAAAGAAAATTTTTAGAAAAGTCTCTCTTAGCTATTTTTGTGCTATGTAATTCTGCTACATACTTTACAGAGAGTAGAGTTTCCTAATTTTTAAAACAATTATTCCAAATATTTACTTCAGCTTTAAGTGACATCACCCTAGAATGAGATGGTGTCTTGCTGTGTAGCTTAGTCTGGACTTTTTGGTAGGGTGTTTTTTGTTTTGTTTTGTTTTCATTTTTTTGAGTTAGATTCTCACTGTGTAGTTCAGGCTGGCTTTGAACTCATAGCCATCCTCCTCCCTCAGCTCCTGAGTGCTGGAATTACAGGCATAGTAATTATCACCATGCCTGGCATAGTCTCCATCTCTTAGATGTTACAGTGTCTTTAAAAGCCCTATGAGTCATGGCAGTTGTCTTAGAAAACCTGTTAGCTGGCTATCAGTGCTCTATATGGTGTCTGTCCTTTAGTTCGTTGAGAAGGGGACAAACACTACAAGGGTTCACTAACTCTAATTTTTCCCTACCAGTTGCCTTCCGGCTGTATGATTTGGATAAAGATGACAAGATCTCCCGTGACGAACTGTTACAGGTATGTGGGAGCACTCTGGGGAGACTTGTTTTGGGGGCTTATTTTTGTGGGCAGGAATTGTTCTTTCTCTCACCAAGCATTTATTTAACACCTACTGTGTTCAGGTCCTATCCTGGATAAAAGGCAGAGCATACTTACCTCCTGGGAAAACTTGGAAAGGCTCATTGAGTCATCCCAAATGTCTCCACAGTATAAAAGCGGACTAACAGATGAAATGTGTGATGTGGGTTTACATTACAACAGGTGTCTTAACTGTTTGGCTTGCCTGGGCAAGGTCAAGGGAATTATCTTGGACCACCTATAAAATACATAATGCAGTTAAGGTATATAAGTAAAGTATGTAATGTATATAAGTAACAAAAACTTCTTTTTGTATTCATTCATTTATAGTTATTTTTATTTGTAGCACAAGAGATTAAATCTCAGACCTTTGGGGGCTGGGGATTTAGATCAGTGGCATAAGTGCCTGCCTTGCAAGCAGGCAGTCATGAGTTCAATCCCCGGTACCGATAAAAACGAAAAAGATTAAAAAAAAAAAAAAAAAAACTCAGACCTTTGGACTGAGCTACATACATCCCCAGCCCTTTTTTATTTTGAACCAGGATCTCCAAGTTGCCCAAGCTAGACTAGAACTCGCTGTCCTGCCTCAGCCTCTCAGAGTACTGGGATAATAAGTGTGCAGCCCTACACCCCACTATGTCAAAAAATTATTGACCTAATTTTAGTCTTCATATGTCTTACCCTTGAAAATAGTTATTCAAGCCAGGCATGGTGGCACATACCTATAATCCCAGAATTTTGAGAGGCTGAGGCAGGCCTCAGTCACAGAGTGAGCTCAAGGCCAACCTGAACTGCATAGCAGGACCCTGTCTCAAAAAATCAAAAAAGAAAGAAAGAGAAGAAAAGAAAAGAAAATAGTTCTCAGACGTCTGTGTTGCCAACAAGTTCAGGCTCTTCCAAGGCAATTTAGTGACATAGGGAGACCCTGTCTTAAAATTTAAAGAAACAGCTACTCCAGTGAAAAGGGTTTACAATATATAAGGTTTGCTGTGCATGGGCTCTTGAGGTCTGGAGAGGAGAGGGCAGTCGCTCTGCAATGCACATTTTTATCCTCTGGCCCAGCTTTGGTTGCTAAGAAGATGGTGTGGGTGTGGAGGACTGACTTAGTCTCTATCATGAGGATAAGGGAGGCCCACAAGCAGGAGTGGGAGAGACTGTGTGACATGGTGCCAATCAATGGCACCTCAGTGTTCTAGTCCAGAATGACTGGGGAAAATATGCCCCTAGGCTATTGAGATGCCAAATTACTAGTTCTATCCAAACACAAAGAAGATAGGAATATTTTGCCAAAGTGAGAGAAAGAACGAAGTCTGTGTTTCTAGATGCTGCAGTTTCTAAAGCATTTGGTAATTTCTAGTTCTTAGTGTCTCAGTGGATATTGAAAAGTGTGGGCAAGTTTGTCCTAAGAACAGATCATGTTTTACTTTGTTTTGTTTTTTAAATTTTCTTTATTTTAAGGAGAATAAAACTCAACAGTACAAAACAAAATAAAGCCAATCAAAACACAGCAGTGGAGCCAGATATTTAGCTCAGTAGTGTAAGTGCCCACCTGGCAAGTATGAGGTCAAGGGTTCAATCCCCATTACCGAAACAAAAACAAAGCAGTAAAAGTGGCACATAGCTTAAAAATAGGACACTAGGTCATCAACAATGGCCTCCATAATATATCTTGTTATCTTCACAATAGTCCATTTCCTTAGACAAAGTAATGTTAAATAAAACAAACAGATCAACACAGAACATTGAGTAAAACAAAAAATCAGAACAAAACACAGAATAATACTGGATTTCTAAAACAAGGCAGAAGGAAACACCCCGTATTTGCTGTATTGCACACTGTCCTCCTCCTAATAATTGCTATCTTAGTTACTTTTAACTCATCACTGAGACAAAATACCTGGTGACCAAAGTTGGGAAAGGAAAGGTTTATTTCTTAACAGTTTTTGGAGGTTTCAGTCCATACTCAGTTGGTTCCAAGGCAGGGTGACATGGCGGGGCTGCAGTTCATGGCGGCTGCAAACAGCAAGTCAGAAACTGCCAAGAGAGAGACACACCTTCTTCCTGCCATTAAATCACAGCCTATATGGGTGGCTAGTGTAGTACTCACACCCCCAATCCAAGCACTAGACAATGAACCAATCACAAATGCATAATGCAAATGCATGAGGCCTGGAGGCCACCATCATAAACCATGACAGTTGCTTAGACTACTGGCCTTAGTCCTGCAAAGTCCATCGAACAATACTAATATTTAGTTATTTTTGTACCTTAGTTGCTATCAACTCAGCCTGTCCTCCCAAACGGCCGGGTGCTGGTAGGGGTGATTGATTCTCAGCCTGTGTGCTGATTAGTTGGCACACAGGAAAAACAGTCTGTCTTCTCTCTTCCTAGACCCCATTTGATTCGCACAGCTTATGGGAAAATCAAACTAGCTTCTTGATGTGCTCTTCCCAGACCCAGCATGGCCTCTGCCGACTCAGGGAACAGCGGACTAGCTTCTTTTTTCCTAGGCCCCACATGGTCTGCACAGTTTGCAGGAAAGGCAATCTGGCTTCCTGTTTTGTGTTTTTGAGACAGGATCTTGTGGTGTGTTTCAGGGTGGCCTTGAACTCAGTATGTAGTCCAAGCTGGCCTTAAACTTGCAACAATCCTCCTGCCTCAGCCTCCCGAGTGTTGAGACTACAGGTGTGTGCCACCATGCCCAGCAGTTCGTGTTTTCTTAATATGATTCTTATAAAATATCCTGGTTGGACTTTTGGAAGGTTGATTTTCTTTTTGGGGTGCTGTTATGTATCATTTATACTTCAATAAATGTATTGCTCTAGCCATAGTGCCACATGTCTGTAATACCAGCACTCAGGAGTTTGAGGCAGAAGGATCATTGCGAGTTCGAGACCAGCTTGTGCTACAAAGTGAGCTCAAGGCCAACCTGAACTGCATAGCAAGATCCTGTGTCAATAAAAGACCAAAAAAAAAAAAAAGATAGTCCCTAACTCATTTTATAAGACTAGTATAACCATAATATGAAAACCTTATAAAGATACTACAAGGAAAAAAACCAACTTCTCTTATTTAAAAGCTGCCCGGCAAGCTCAAGGTTATGAGTTATGAGTTCAATCCCTGGTACCAAAAAAATAAATAAAACAAAAGCTGGGTTCTATGGCACATGCCTATAATCCCTTGTTACACAAGAGGCAGGAAGATCATGAGTTTGAGGCCAGCCTGCACAATTTAGTGACATTAGTGATAACCTATCTCCAAAAAAAAATTTTTTTTTTAATTTTTTGGTGCCAGGAATTGAACTCATGACCTCACGATTACAAAGCAGGCACTTATGTTGCTGAGCTAAATCCCTGGCTTTTTTTGTATTTTTTGAGACAACATCTCACTATGTCGCCCAATCTGACCTCAAACTCAGTGATCTCCTGCCTCAGCCCCCTGAGTGCTGGGATTATGCACCCCCACAGCTGGCCTGTGTCAAAAATTTAAAAAACTGACAACATAGCTCAGTGGGTAGAACATCCCTGAGTTTGTTAACCAGTACCTCCCCCTGCCAAATAAAAGATCATAAGAGAAAACATTGCTGAGCATGGTGGTACACATCTGTAATCCTACACTTGGGAAGCTGAGGCAGGAGTATTGCCAAAAATTTGAGGCCAGCCTGGGCAACCTAGCAAGACCCTGTCTCAAAATAAATAAATAAATAAATAAATAAAGGAAGGAAGGAAGGCATTGATTATAGTAACACATAAAATAAGGAAAAAATACTGGTCTTGTCCACTGAAAAAAGTATTTCTTTTTTTTTTTTTTTTTTTTGGTCTTTTTCCTTTTTATCAGTACCAGGGATCGAACAACTCACGACTGCCTGCTTGCAAGGCAGGCGCTTATGCTGCTGAGCTAAATCCCCAGCCCCGAAAAAAGTATTTCTTAAAAAAAAAAAAAAAAGTATTTCTTAATTTTTAGAAACTCTTATAAAACCAGAAATGGAACTTTTCTTAAATTGACAATAAGTATGTACGAAAACCCTCACCAAGCCAGGTATAATCATGCACGCCTATAATCCCAGCACTTGGGCGGCTGAGACAGGAGGATCACTATAAGTTCAGGGACAACCTGGGCCACACAGTGAGTTCCAGTCCATCCTGTACTTCATAACAAGACCCTGTCTCAAAAAAACAAAACAAAACGGAAAGCTGCTCACCAACCAGGCACAGTGGGGTGGCATAGGCCTTTAGTATCAGCACTCAAGAGGCTGAGTTCCCTTGAGGCTGAGCTCCCTTCTTGCTAACAGCTTTCCCAATGGAACAGTGACTAACAGGATGAACAGAGGAGCACCAGGCTGGGAATGGAGACCTATACTGCTCCTGCCCTGGGACTTGGCTCACACCCAATCCTGGGTCCTCAAGTCATTAATAGACCAGATGCAGTGATGTTTAAGATGCACCACAACTATCCCACGCTTGCTGCTTGCCATACAACCTGTATATACATAACCCAGTTCTGAGGTTCTAAAAATAAAATACTTAGAAAATAATGGGACTGAAACCTGAAGAGACTGCAGTGTAAGGATGGATTCATCTGATCAGTCAGGGAAGACAGTGGCTTAGCCCAAGTGGTCTTTGTTAGATCTTCCCTTTTTTATTGATCTTTCAGTTGCACATTTTGTACCTAAAATATACAAGCTCAGCTTTCAAAAGCTAGTTTGTAGCTGAGTATGGTGACATGTACAAATTAATAGCAACTACGTGGGAGGCTGAGACAAGGAGATCACAAGTCCAGGAGCTGGAGGCCAGCCTGGGCGGCATAGTGAGACCTCCATCTTAAAAAACAAAACAGAGGACTAGGAATACGATGCAGCATTTGCCTAGTGTGCACAGGCCCTGAGGTCAAACCCCAGGACTACTTTTTTTTTTTTTTTTTTTTTTTTTTGTCTTTTTCCTTTTTATCGGTACCGGGGATTGAATTCACAACCGCCTGCTTGCAAGGCAGGCGCTTATGCTGCTGAGCTAAACCTCCAGCCCCATCCAAGACTACTTTTAAAAATAAAGCTGGCCAAGTTCCTAGTTATCCTGCACCACTTCCTGAGACCTCATCTTGAAATAACATTTTTTTAAAAGGACTAGGGATGTGGAGCTGGCGATTTAGCTCAGTGGCATAAGCATCTGCCTTGCAAGCAGGCAGTGAGTTCAATCCTTGGTACCGATATAAAGTTGAAAAAAAAAAAAAGGTTCAATTCCAGTGGTGAAAACCAAAAAGACTTGTGAATGAGGTTCTTTGTTGTGTTTGTTTGATACATTTAGTGAAATAGTGTTAAATTCTCTTTACTCAGGGGCTGGGGATTTAGCTCAGCGGCATAAGCACCTGCCTTGCAAGCACGTGGTTATGAGTTCGATCCCTGGTACCCATAAAAAGTTAAAAAAAAAAAAAAATTTCACTTTACTCAATTCTGAAAGTCCTTTAAACATGCTTATTATTAGCCAGGTGTGGTGGCTCATGCCTATAATCCCAGCACTCAGGAGGCTGAGGTAGAAGGATTGTTGCGAGTCTGAGCCTGGGCTACAAAGTGAGTTCAAGGCCAGTCTGAACTGCATAGCGAGACCCCATCTCAAAAAAGACAAAAAAAAAAAAATGTGCTTATTATTGCTGGGCGTGGTGGCACATGCTTGTAATCCCAGCACTAGAGAGGCTGAAGAGGATCACAAGATGGAAGATTACTTGGGCTTTTCAGGCAATTTCAAGGCCAGCATGGGCTACACAGCAATATCCTGTCTCAAAGGAAAAAAAAAGTGCTTATTGATTTTCTAAGAGGAAGACTTGGCATGTACAGTAACCCTTAAAGAGTTAACCCTTTATGTTTCTTGGAGCATAGCCAGACTTCATGCACCTTCTCAAAAGGGGACTTAATTGGGACAAGATTCCAGAAAGTCCCATCAGTCCCAACTGAACTTGTTGAAGTAGAAGTCTGCATAGATTGTCTAGGGTGAACAGTAACTAAATAATACCCAGAATGGTACAGTAACTAAATAATACCCAGATGCCTCCTACAATCCAGGATGCTGCCAGATGCCATATCTGCATCCTGTGCAGGAAGAATGGGGGCCAGTAAATTGCAAAGGACTCTCCCTTAGTGAGGTTTTACCTTCCTGTTCAGTGACTTGGCTCACGTCACTGTCTAGAACAGTCTAGATGAGAAGAAGCTAGAGGCTAGCTGTTAAATGTAAGCGTGTTAGAGGAAAGGCAGTTGGGGCAGCTTTCACTATAGTCCTAGTAAAGTCCTTCTGGTTCTCAGGTTCCCAGCAATGCCTGACTCTTGGTCTTGTAGGTGCTACGCATGATGGTTGGCGTGAATATCTCAGATGAGCAGCTAGGCAGCATTGCAGACAGGACCATCCAGGAGGCTGACCAGGATGGGGACAGTGCCATATCCTTCACAGAGTTTGTTAAGGTCAGTTACCTCTTGCTTTGAAAAGTTAAATTATACTGCACAGGAAGGAGGAGAAGTTGTTATTTGGGAACATATTTGAGATGGTTTTGTTCTTCCTAACTGTAATTGGGTTTGGTTTTCTTACTCCAGGTTTTGGAGAAGGTGGATGTAGAACAGAAAATGAGCATCCGGTTTCTTCACTAAAGAACACAGACCAAACCATTCCTTAAGTATTTAAGAACTGGAACTTCAATAGTCCTCCTGTCCACCTGCCCCACCTTCACCCCATCGTGCCCTTTCTCCTGAAGTACCACTGCTGTTGCATGATGACCCCACACGTCTGCCCATCCAGACTCTCCTTGTGTATAAACCTGCCTTACCAAAGGGTACTTCCAGTATCTTTCTGCTCAGTAGCTATGTCTCTTTCCCTCTTCTGCTACGAAGCACCTCATGTCCATTCAGTCCGAGGAGGTGAAGAGTCAATTCCGGAGTGGGCCTGCAAAGCTTTTGCTGGGTGGAGGTGTAGCCATGCTGCCTTCCCTGCAGCAAGGTTCTGGCATTTTCCTGTGACCTTGTATGCATCCTTGGCTTTTCATTGCCTGTCACCTAGCCTGCTTATAGCCTCCTGGCTTTTTACTGAGCCTCACAATTCCCCCTGTTCTACCTGGCAGCCTACACTATTTCTGTTAAATCTCTTTCTGACTTGGCAGGACGGTTCAGTGGTCTGGTGGCTTTTATCTATCTTCCCTCTTAAATGGGTCTCTGGGACGCTGCCTTTCTAGGAGCTTTCAGGAACCAACACTTCTCTTGGAAGAATGTGATTGTTCATCAAAGGGCTTCTGGGTAGAAATGTCCTTGAAAGGTCACTTTGGTGGCTTGCCCAGGTCGCTCTACCTCTGGCTTTTGATTTTCAGCTTCTCTTGAGAGTGCTGTGCTATAAGTACTCAGAAAATAGTCATAGTCTGCAGATCTGCTTAGCTTTGGGTCACTGTCTTCACCAGAATGATGCAGATAGTTGCTGGGACTTCTTCATGGCTCTTTGAGCAAGGAAACCAGGAGCCCCTGCACCTCCTGCACCCACACCACAGCAAGGCATGTGCCTCAGTGTGACGACACCAGAAGGTTTCTGCCTTTGCATTTCCAAGTAGAGCGACTAGTGTCACAGAAGTGCCTAACTTACTTCAGTCCAAGAGAATTAAAGATTAGCTTCAGTGTCCTGAATTTCTGCACAGAATTCTTTATGAGTTTTCCATTTGGCAGTTACTAATGCAGAAGCCATAGTCAGCTCCTGCTACAGCCCAAAGCATTGAATGTATTGTCTTAGCTGCCTGGCTTCATGACCTCCCTAGCTCCTTTCTGGAGTACTGCTATCTATTTGGGAACAAGGGGTTTGGCACTAGTGGCAGTGAGGTCACTCAGTGAGCCAGAGCACCTTCCCTGCCAAAGCCAGCTTAGACCCCATTGCATCGGGCTGTTGCTGTCTTCTGTCTTGTGAGTCCCTTTGTCCATGTATCTGTCCTGGGCTGTCTTTCTGTGGTGTGGCTGGCTGCTTACTTGCTTGTTCTCTTGTTCTCCAAGATGTGCAGACAGTTCTTTAGGAAAAAAAACTGCTAAAAAAATAACAGTGCAAAGGGCTGGACAAAGGTGAGGAACAGGAACGGCCAGGTTGGATGGCATTAGTGTAAATGCATGAGAAATTCTTCATGAGGTATCAATCTGGCTTCATGATCAAAGTGAAGTAATAGAAGAATTATAGAAAAGGGAAGAACTGTCTGATAGTGACCTGTTAAGAGAGGAGTCAAGAGCTCCTTACTTTGCATATTTAAAGTTTCTAAGATTACGGCTTTTTCCCCTTTTGGCTATAGAGCAAACTGTTTTAATCCACAGTTGTGCCTTACTGTCCCATTAAATTGTATTGTTCAATCTGTCAATAAATACAGTTAAAACACAATGACTTAGGGGTTTTTTTTCTGTGTCTTTTACAAGAATTTGGTGTAACATGGTCTCCTTCAGGCTGAATTCATGAACAGTGTCTGCCCAGCTCAGGTTTGTGTCTCTGTACCATGCAGCGCAGGGGTCTCTGCTATTCCCAATTCACCTGGCGGCTCACAGTGTCTCTAAGGCTGAGTTTTGTAGCCTTCCTCACTTCTGCTCACTCCTGGTAAAATTTAACTTCTTTTCTTGACTTCCTGGGACCACAAAGGGAATTTTACAAAGGAGGAGATGTTAAGAAAAACCAGATAGGGGCTGGGAGTTTAGCTCAGCAGCATAAGCGCCTGCCTTGCAAGTGTGCAGTCGTGAGTTTGATCCCTGGTACTGATAAAAAGGAAAAAGACAAAAAAAAAAAAAAAAGAAAAACCAGATAGCCCCACAGATTTTCTGTAGATTAATCTAAGCAGCCTGTTAACTCTGAAGGGTTTGTAAAACAAGTCTGTAAGACTTCAAGTCCTCCAGGTCTAAAGTGTGCTAGAGCTGAGGAAGGGAGAAGGGAACATAAAAAGAATTAGGATGTATTATGTGCATGTACTACTTCCTCCCCGTGATGAATGTAATTGTGTACTGCAGATGTACTAATAAAAATTAAAATAATAAAGTGTGCTGTTGCTTATAGATTAAGCTTCAGTATAATGAAAATTATATAAATGAAACATGCCTGAAAATAAGAAAAAACTAAATGTGTTGCATGTATTTCACGCAGTGCCTGGATCTTTGTTGCTCTATATTGTGTGACCTGATTGAGCTCAGTGACCTGGTTTGTACAGATGTCATATCTTCATTATCTTGGAAACAAACAATTGTGGCATAGAAAAGATCCATGATTCAGAGTCTGTTCTTTGAAAGGATGGAAAGGGTGGGGAAAGGGAGGGAAACAATAATAAAAGGATCTTCATGTGATACATGATGTACCAGTTCTCCCACTGTGCATGTATGTACTGTGCATCAAAAATACAAAAGTTTGGGGCTGGGGATTTAGCTCAGCAGTGTAAGCACCTGCCTTGCAAGTGCGTGGTTGTGAGTTCACCCACAGCATGATGGTACACTCCTGTAATCTCAGCACTTGAGAGGCTGAGGCAGGAGGATTGTTGTAAGTTCAAGACCAGCCTGAGCCCAAGGCCAGCCTGAACTGCATAGTGAGACCCTGTCTAAAAATGACAAAATTAAGTTTGAGGAAGAGCTAGGGATACAGCTCAGCAGCATAAGCACCTATCTGGCAAGCACAAGGTTCTGAGTACAATTCTCGGTACAAAAAAAAAGTTTGAGGAAGAAACTAGAAATAGTTTTAGTCAGGTGGTTCAGTGGCTCATAATTTGATAACAGACTTATGGACTGAAGAGAAGCATTGTCACAATACTGAATTTCTTGAGGATAGGAGCTGCCAACCTTTTGGGGGGAGGGGTTGTCTTTTTTTTTCCAGTAATAGTGATTGAACCTAAAAACCACAGTCACCTCCCAAGCCTTTTTATTAAGTAATATTTTATTTTGAGATGGTCTCACTTAGCTGCTAAATGATTTGAGGATCACTGAGATGCTGAAGTAGGCCACATTGCTGTTCCTCTCAAGGATTCGAAGTCTTCAAATTTGTATTCCTATGCCTGCTAAGTGTGAGGTTGTGAGTTTGATCCCCAGAACCAAAAAAATTGTACATCTGGGCATTGATACGGGCACACAGTTACTGATGTCAGCAAAGCATATATTTGAGTCTCTCATAGTCTGTATGTAACTACAGTGGGAGGAACTTAAGTGGGAGTAAAGTTGATGTGTTTTTAAGATGAGTAACTACACATCAAGAATCAAGATGATCAGGGCCAGGGATTTAGCTCAGTGGCTAAATGCCTGCTTGGCAAACGCGAGGTCATGACTTTGACGCCCAGTACCAAAAAAAAAAAGAATCTAGATCATCAGAGTCCCGCAAAAAACAGAATTGAAGGAATCATTTCCCAATTTTTTTTTAATTTTTCATTTTTTATCAGTACCTGGGATCGAACTCCTGACCACCTGCTTGCAAGGCAGGCACTTAAGCCACTGAGCTAAATCCCCAGCCCCCCCCCTTTTTTTAAATTTCATTTCCCAATTTGAAAATTTGTTTACTACAAAGCTAATCAAGACATTGTGGTATTGGTATAAGGACAGATATATATCCATCCCATAATGACTGTAAGCATTATGTATACCAATAAAAAATTTTTAGGAAAGATAGCTAAATAAACCAAGATGTGAGCATGAAAATAAACCCTCACATTTCACATTTATTTTCAACTGATTTGATGCAGGTGCCAGAGCAATTCAGCAGGATGCAGAGTAGTCTTTTGGTACCACTGAAGCAATTGGCTCTCCCTGTGCAGAAGAATAAAGTTGGGAGCCAAGCATGGTGGCATACGCCTGTAACCCTAACACTGGGAGGAGGATCGTGAATTCAAGCCCCACCTGTACAATTTAATAATATCCAGTCTCAAAAAAAAACACAAAAAGACTCCTTAGCTTAAATTTAATGTAAACATAAAAGCTAACATAAAATTTAAAAGGAAACATAGACATTAAATCTTTATGACCTTAGGAGAGGCAGTATTTTCTGGATTATAATACCCAAGAGCAAACTAAAAACTATTAGATAAACTGGACCTCATCAAAATTAACACCATCAATAATGTAAAAAGCCATTTTAATGAGAAAATGCTTGTACATCATACATCTGATAGGGGACTTATATCTAGAATATAGAGAGAACTACAACCTAGATATGGAAAGACAACCCAGTATGGGTCTGAGTACACTACTGGTGAGAATGTTAAGCTGGTGCTGTGGAAAACAGTTTGGTAGTTCCCCAGAAAGTTGCAAGAAAAAAAATTTGCCAGATGTGATGATACAAACCTGGATTTCCAGTACTCAGGAGGCTGAAGCAGGAGGATTGCCATGAGTTCAAGGCTAGCTGGGGCTACATGGTAAGTTCAAGACCAGGCTGAACTACATAGCGTGGATATGATCAAACCATGCAGGCACAAAAGCATATTGGAAGTCAGTACTTTGTAAAATAGGCACTAAATATACTTTAAGCCACTTGTTGTACGTTCCTGCAATCCCAGAGCTTGGAAGTCTGAGGCAGGAGATTGCTGTGAGTTCAAGAACTGCATAAGTGAAAAAGCATCATGTATTGTATGGAGTACTCGCGCAGCTCTTGACCTTCGTGGGGATAAGGACTGCAAGAGGCTGGGGGGAAAAATACACAAACTGAGGTCAGGAGGAGCCTTCTCTCCTGATGGGAGAAAAGGAATAGCTCAATGACTTTAGCCCACTTTATATATATATCCTGGAGGAGGATGTTAATTTCAACCCCTCTGCTTAGCAATTTGTCTGGCTGGCCGAGGCCCCTTGCCTTTTCTAAGCTGGCACAGTTTGTTGACGTGGCTCGCTTTGGACTCTAGGTCTTCTCAGGGCTGACCTTGCTTTGGGCCCCGATGTGTGATGTGTGATAGATCTCCAGCTTCAGTCATTCCCTACCAAAAAAAAAAAAAAATTTGCAGATCATTTCTTTTTTCCTTTCTCCTTATTTTCTTCTCTTACTTTTCTCAGTAAATGTTAAACTGTTTCATTAGTTTTTCTCTGTCCAATTCTTTTTTTTTTTTTTTTTTTTTTTTGTCTTTTTCATTTTTATCAGTACCAGGGATCGAACTCTCGACTGCCTGCTTGCAAGGCAGGCGCTTGTGCCGCTGAGCTAAATCCCCAGCCCCCTCTGTCCAATTCTTTGAACAGGACAAGAACCTAGCCCGGTGAAGCTGTCAGACCAGACGGGCACAGAACCTCTGTGGGTGGCCCTCAGCTGGGGTCCTGCTACAGAGCCAGGGTGAGAGTCAGCCTCAGGTGGTGCAGCCATTGGGCTGGGCACTAAGTGGCTCAGAGCTGAGCTGGGGCTGAACATGGTGCTGGACTGTTGCACCCTCCATGCTTCTGTGGGGAAGGGGCGCTAGCAGGAAGGCTCAGCCTCCACCCATGGGACTGCAACCACCCTGTAAGGCCTGTAGCTGGGGCGACAGGCAGCAAACCTGGGTCCCGGCACTACTGAATGAGACAGTTACCGTGGCAGGCAGGTACCCACAGGGCTGAAGCCTCAAGTTCTCTTAGTGCAGCCTGGCCCATTCCTGTCACAATCCCCTGAACCTGAAGAGGCCACTGGGGCGGCGCGGGCAGTGTGGAGCTGCCAGCATGGGTCAGGTGGAAAGCCAGCAGTGTCTGAGATACCATGGCCACCACCTCGAGGCCAGTTGTCTGTACCATACTTCCCTGGAGCCCAGGCTGGGGTGTCTGACAGCACAACCAAGCTAGTAGTGCAAGCCTTCTCCTTTCTCCCCCTCACCCCATGGAGCTCCTGCTCAGGTGACTCCTTTCTTCCTGCTGGGATGCACCCAGCTGGGCACTCTAATGCCCTAGTGCTCCTGTCTGTCATCACGAAAGCTTCCAGGTGTTTGGCTGAGGAATGGGAAAATGACTTTGTAACCTTTTGCTGTTCTTCCTCCTTTGGCCGGCAGAGGGGGAGGTTGCGCTTCCACTGGCTCACCAGTGAAACCACTCAGATAGGTAACTGGCAGCTTGCCCAATTTTCCTCTTGAACGGGTTTGTTTTGAGCATATGGTGATTCAGGTTATTTGTTCTCTTTCCTGTTTCTTTTGATAGGACTGGAAACAGCAATTACAAATAATGGTGACTGTTTTATTGCATTTATTTCTTTTTTTGGAGTCTCTTGTAGTTCAGGCTAAACTGGAACTCATTATAGGCCAGGCTGATTTCCAGTTTATGGCAATCCTCCTGCCTCAGCCTCCTGAGAACTGGAATTACAGACATGCACCACCATACTATGACTTTAAAAACAAAAATATTAACTTTTAAAAGTCCTTCCCTGTAGATTTTTTTTTTCCTTTCATGATCAACCTAAAGTCATTTTTTTAGGGAGAATGAGAC